TAAGATCTCAACTAAGGTCAAGGAGAAACTATTCCATAGTTTCTCATTCCCACAAAGGATTCCATCTGTCAATACGCCACCGTTTGTCCTAACTGCATAGAAAGAGTGAAGAGGGACAGTGGCAAAGATTCTTTAAACTAATTTTTTTCTTTCTTTCCTTTGATACAAATGGTAACATGGTTTTCACAAAGTGAAATAGTTTGCTTTTTTGTCCACTTAAATATAAATTCTGAAGCTTTTTTCATATCAGTGGGTGACTTCCCTAATTTTTGTAAAGGTACATAAGATAATAGATGTTTATCTAACCAGTTCTCTTTAAATAAATATTGAGCATAATTATTTCTTACCTTCTGCTACTCATTTCTCACTGAAATGAACATCAAGGTAAACATCAATAAGCCCATTATAAAAGTCTTGAAAAGTAGGAACTCAACTGTGACTGAAACCAAAACTGGGGAGGTGGTTAGAAAGCATATTACACAGCCTGCCTCCCAAACCCCATTTGTTATCTCTGCTTCTGAGTGCAGAGATTAAACTTTTTTGTGGGACAGAGTCCTGGGCTGTGACCTTCAGAACAGTTTATTAGCCTTTATTTTTCTTCAGACAGGAAAGCTAATGGGGCTGAAGTTGGCAAACTGCCCTTTGCCCAGTTCAGAAACCACTCACTCACTCCTGTTGGTCTGTATCACTCCCTCATGAGTATAGGATTTTGGGGGGGGTTTCGGTAGAGAAGGTACACACACCCCCAGCTTCCATATTATCTCACGTCATCATTTCCTTTCCTTCAAAGCCCTTATTTTGATCTTATAAATGCAAAGTTTACCACTTGTTAACCATCTCTTTTCCCACAAAAATACAAGGCATGAACACTGCAAGAACTTGTTTCAAGCATCTACAGAAAAGCCTAGAGTGCTTGCTTTTTTTTGCTGTTCACCTGTGGAGTACTGAATAAGCAAGTTGACAAAGTCCTTGCTATTCTAGGGAAGCCAGCAAGGCTGGCATCCCTTTTGCCTTCCCCCTTCTCCCTCCCTTTGAGATCTGACCTTTGATTGAACCCAGGACCCTGGAAGCTTTGTAAATGAGAAACTTATGTTCTTATTTTGTTGATAAGTAGTTAGCTATGAATCCTCAAGCACTGTGGCAGCTGAAAATGTTTTGTTCTATAAATAGCTTGGTAGCAAATATAACTGACAATCAATATGATTTGTTATTTTCACTAGCTTATAAAAAGGAATCTAAAATAAACTAAGATGCCTTGCAGGTCAGCAGCCTGCAAAGTCCTCCTGATCCCATAAAATAAATCATGTCTTTCTTCATTTCCCACCATCTCCCCTTGGGGTACTGGTCAACAACACTGGCCAGTACAGGGATCCAGACCCTTGACTTTGGTGTTACCAGGCTGTGCTCTAACCAGCCATCCCTGTCTTGACTATTTGTGATTAGTTGTATAAGTTTTGAATCTACAATGCCTGGTATATGAAGGATGTGGAAAAGTTAGCAATAAGAACATAGACTCTGAGTAAGAAAGGCTTGACTGGTGTATTAGTCCGTTTCTATTGCTATAATAGAAATACCCAAGACTGGGTAATTTATAAGGAAAAGAGGTTTATTTGGCCTACGACTCTGGGACAGCTGCATCTGGCATGGGCCTCAGGCTGCTTCTATTCATGGCAGGAAGTGGCAGGCAGCCAGCGGGTACAAGCAGATCACATGGTAAGGAAGCGAGAGAGAGAGAGAGAGAGAGAGAGAGAGAGAGAGAGAGAGAGAGAGAGAGAGAGAGAGAAAGTGTCAGGGTCCTTTAAACAATCAGCTCTCGTAGGAATAGAAAGAGAACTCACTCACTACCCCTCCTCCCCCAGGGAGAGCATTAATCCATTCATGAGATATCCACCCCCATGACTCAAATCAGTTTCCAACACTGCCACATTGGAGATCAAATTTCCACATGACTTTTGGAGGGGACAACACATCCAAACTCCATCAACTGGAATATTAATACTGTGTTGCTTCTTACTAGGTTTGTGTTCTGACAATTTACCAAAACTTGCAGGCCTCAGTTGACTCGTAAAAGATTTTAAACATACTGTATAGTTTGCTAAGGAGTAAGTGTATTTATGTATTTTAACTGAGCTACTTTATGAAAAAGTGTCCAATAAAAATAGGAAATATTTCAGTGTTTAAATGATAAGAAAAGTAAAAGTTTTTCTAGAAGACTTGAGAGCTGGCCTCACACTTGATGGAAGGCCAAGTGTTATCCTGTTGAAAAATGTCACACACCTTCATCATCAGACAAAGTTACTCAGCAACCATGATGGATACAGACAAAAACAAGGGCATTCTCTAACCATGTCTCTAAAAATCTAAAAGAAAATAGACTCCAGACCCTAAAAAATGACCAAAATCTCCTAATATGACAAACTGGTGCTTCCTATAAATTAGGTTTAGCTCACTCCATTCTTTCTGCCTCCTAGATAAGATTAAGACTACCAAAAAGAGTATTAGGTTCACTTCACATCATCCGATACACAGAAACATGTCACTTCCTTTGTATGGAAATAAAATCACCTAATACAAACCCAAATACTTCAGAAGTCCTTTTGGGCACCCTCTTACTGGAAACTTAGTCACTTATGGTTTGTGGTCATACGTATTACAACTCATTACACTTCACTCTTTGAAACGTGTGATCCTGGTGCATCTTTGGCAAAACAGCATTGACAAAAGTATGATTTAACTTTTTTGTACTACGAATGAATGACAAATAAGTTTCATGACAAAACTGTTACCGTAATTCTATGGTTTGAATGCCTCCCCAAAACTCATTGATGTTTGTTTTGATCCCCATTTTAACAGTATTAAGAGGGTAAGAAACCAGACTATAATATTTGAAAGGTGGGGCCTTTGGCAGGTGAGTGGATCATGAGGGCTCTGCCCTCATAAATGGATTAAGCCATTTATGAATTAGTGGGTTAATGGTCTAAGTGGTTAACAGGGAATAGACTGGGGGCTTTATAAGTAGAGAAGGAAAATATGTGGAAAAGAGCTCTTGCTCAGCCCTTGCTATGTGATAGCATGTAAGACTATGCGACTCTGTGAAAAGTCCCCACCAAGAAGACCCTCACCAGATGTACCCCCTTGACCTTGAACATCCCAGCCTCCAAAGATGTAAGATATAAATTTTCTTTTGTTATATATTACACAGTTTTAGGTATTCTGTCATAAGAGACAAAATACACCATAAAAGAAAAAAATGTGAAGGTAAAAACACATGAATTTATTTATATGCACACAGGAAGATGGACTCAATGTATAATGAATAACTTGACAAAATTACAAAGTTGTCCTAAAAATGATTACAAAGGGTTATTTATTTTCTCAGGATACGGAAAAGACAATAATATTTGTCAGTAGATATGTGTTAGAAATATTTTATTAACTATTTTCAAAGAAACGTCTACAGAAGCTTTTGCTTAACAACAACAATGTGCATTGTTTTAATCACATACAAACATAATTGAGAATGTACTGAGGGATGACATTCAGCTGTAACTGGAAACTCCCACAATCTTCCTGACATAAAGAAGTTCTCATTCTCACATGGAAAGACTGTGTCAGAAAAGTCACTGTACAACACAGTAAAGAAACAAACATCCACGTGGTTGTGACTGCACTGCTGCAGCTGTCATGGTGGAATCTGGAACACATAAGTCCTTACCAATATTAACAGAACAAGGTGTTTACTATACAAATTAGACCTTATTTGAATATAATCTATAGGAGCAGGGAGTCAGAGCAACCAAAAATTCTCCCAACCTTAACAGTATGAACTAGTTACCCAAAGGACAGAGGAGGCCTTGCAAGAAAATCCAAACTGTGGATGGATCTTTCATACGAAGTTTGTGGAGACATCTGTAGAAGCCTAAACCTTTGAGAAAATGGAAATCAAGTAGATGGTGGTGTTTTGAGGATACTCTTGATTAGCAGGGCAAAGTATCAGGAAAACACACAAAAAGCAATTGTCCATGAAGTCCTTTCATTATCTGTCCATCTCCCTTTATGGTGAGTTCAAAATCTGACAAATATCTTTTTCAGTTCTGCATTCCAACTCTCCTGCAAGTTAGGCTACTGGTGAATTCTAACATATAAACACAGAGGAAATCAATCCTCGAAATTTAGTTCACATTACACATGTTGACATAACACAATCCAGGAGGACTGACTCCAATATAAATTTTATTATCCTATTACAGACCTTACAAATTAAAGTCTATCATCCATATCCCTGAAAGGATGACAAAGGGCTAAAGGCAAAATATGAAGATAATAACTCACATAAGACTACACTGTATGATGAATGTGGCATACAAATACTTCAAAATTTATGCCAACTATTTATTAGCACAGAAAATAAAATAAGGCTCTCCTGGCCAAGAAGAAAAAAGTTTTTCTCATAAAAAAGGTGAACTATATATAATAGGTAAGTGATATCCAATACCTGACACAGAATGCCAGTGGGAAACTCCCAACAAATACCAAACTATCATTTTTCAATGGCCTCTTACACAACTACTTCAAAAAATATATAAAAATTAAACCTGCTTGCATATCAGAAATACACTGCAATTCACTCAAGGACTCAACAGACTTCAAAATGGAAAGACAAAAACTATAACTGATTTAAGTAGAAACATACGACCTACAAATACCTGTGTACTATTGCTTAGAGTTCTTACAGAAGAATTTCACCTCAACATTCATTTATGAAAGTAGGAAGCAGAAATACATAGTGCAGAGATACGACCTACAAATACCTGTGTACTATTGCTTAGAGTTCTTACAGTAGAATTTCACCTCAACATTCATTTATGAAAGTAGGAAGCAGAAATACATAGTGCAGAGATACATTTTAAGAATGTGGTACTTTTAAGATAACACATTTATAACTTTATAACATTTTTCTCATGTTGTAAAATTTTTGGAGCATTATACACGAATTTTTATCAGGCTCTCCCATACTACTTACATGTATACAACTTCTGTCCAGTGTGAATTCCATATAAATCAAAAAATAGTTGTTGAAAATGAAAACTCCCCCTATTTTTTGTTTGTAAGATTTCTATCCAGTGTGCATTTTCTTCACGTGGTATCGTAAAGATGCAAGCCAACTGAAGGCTTCCCCACATTCCTTACATTTATAAGGTTTATCTCCAGTGTGTGCTCTCATATGTGCTTGAAAGGCTGCAAGAAAAGTGAAGACTTTCCCACATTCCTTACATTTGTAGGGTTTCTCTCCAGTGTGCACTCTTTCATGAATTTGAATATAACTGAAACAACTGAAGGCTTTACCACATTGCTTACATTTGTAGGGTTTATCTTCAATATGAGTCCTCTCATGTTTTTTAACAGATTGCTGATAAATGAAGGTTTTCCCACAATGTTTACACTCATAGGGTCTCTCCCCACTGTGAGTTCTTCCATGTATTTGCAAACCTAGAGGAGACATGTAGGTTTTCCCACACTGTTTACAATCATAGCATTTCCGTGCAGTGTGAGTCCTTTCATGTATTTGAGCAGAATGGCGATAATGGAAGGCCTTCCCACATTCCTTACATTTGTAAGGCTTCTCTCCAGTATGAGTCTTTTCATGTCTTTGAGCAGAGTTGTGATATGGGAAAGCTTTTCCACATTTTTTACATTTATAGGGTTTCTCTCCACTGTGAGTGCTTTCATGTGCTTGCAAACCTGGAGAAGACATGAAGGCTTTCCCACATTCCTTACATTTGTAAGGCTTCTCTCCAGTATGAGTCTTTTCGTGTCTTTGAGCAGAGTAGAGATACAGGAATGCTTTTCCACATTCTTTACATTTATAGGGTTTCTCTCCAGTGTGAGTTCTTCCATGTGCTTGTAAACCTAGACGAGACATGTAGGTTTTCCCACATTCCTGACATTTGTAAGGTTTTTCTCCAGTATGAGACTTTTCATGTCTTTGAGTGGTGTTCTGATACAGGGATGCTTTTATACATTTTTTACATTCATAGGGTTTCTCTCCAGTTTGAGTCCTCCCATGTATTTGGAAAGAAGGTTGATAACTGAATGCTTTCCCATATTTCTTACATTTATAGGGTATTTCTCCACTGTGTATCCTTTCATGTTTTCTAAAACACTGAAGATAACTGAAGGCTTTCCCACATTCTTTACATTTATATGGCTTCTTTCCATATTCCTGACACTTATATGGTTTGTGTCCAGTGTGAAGTCTGATGTGCCTATTAAAGAATGAGTAAGGAATGAAGACTTTTACACACACACTTATTGATATTAGAATGTCTTTTTTTCACTTTCAGGGAAAGTATAGGTTTTATGTCCTGTCTAAATTGCTTCAAAGTAAATATACTGAATTCTCTGTAAGAGGGCTCAGGTACACCTAATATGAACACAGTGATATTCATACCTGGATTTTTAAATACTGTTTCCAAGTGAACTTTTTCTCAAACACTGAGCATTTATGCCATATTTAAGAAAACACTTTGTGTTAATATGATTGTACTTCAAAAACTCTGTGGAAAATCAGAATTAAAAGATAATACAGGGCCGGCCCGGTGGCGCACTGCTACAGTGCGCCGCTTGGGAGTGCGGCGGCGCTCCCGCCGAGGGTTCGGATCCCACATACAGACCGGCCGCTCACTGGCTGAGCGAGGTGCGGGCGCGACACCAAGGGTTGCGATCCCATTGCCGGTCCCGGTCTGGTACGGGCGCAACACTGAGGGTTGTGATCCGTTGACGGTCACGAAAAAAGATAATACAAATCTTTTCATTAACTTTTTGAAGACCCCTTGTATTTTAGTAAGGATAGGCGCAACACTGAGGGTTGTGATCCGTTGACGGTCACGAAAAAAGACAAAAAAAAAAAAGATAATACAAATCTTTTCATTAACTTTTTGAAGACCCCTTGTATTTTAGTAAGGATAAATAAATTTAAAGATGAGTTTCTTTTGTTTGCTTGTTTTTAAAAATTTATGACATAGTAAGATTTTTCTCCTGGAACACTGCTTTCACTTGTGAGGTGTGACTCACCTGAGATTTCTCCCCTGGTTTTTGTACTTATCTTCAATGTTCTGGTCTTTCTGATTTTTTCCTAAAATACAAACCCAGAAAAATCATCACAAATTATTAGAAAGTACAGAAAAACTTAGAGTCTAGGTCCATGATAAGCTGTGACTATATATGGCTTATTTACAAGGTACTGCCTTTTCACATTCCAAATCCTGGAATAGAAATGATGACCAAAAATGTTGTCCTGTAAATTGTTAGAGAACATGACAGAATGATGCCATCTTACCTACTGAGTTCAGGTTCCTAAAGGTTTCCCACATCACATCTCTGTAGAGTTTTTTCTGCGAAGGATCTAGCAAAATCCACTCCTCCTGGGTGAAGTTCACAGCCACATCCTTAAAGGCCACTGATTCCTGAAACATCCCACATATGTATACATGAAGATGGGTGAGACTGACAGTCCTGGGGATCTACACTCAATTCATAAGATGTTCATATATGATTATGTGCTCGCTAAAGACTTATTCTATGGTTTTGGTCATCAGAATTCTTACTCTCTGTCCACACTACTTCCTAAATTTAACAGCAACTATCTTTACATTTTCTCTGTGATCATCTCAAGTCTTATTGCTCTCCAATGGCAGGTCCAGAGCACCTTGGAGGAGTTAGAGAAATGCTATACAAAACAAAAGAATATTTTCATTTTAAGACCATCAATTCCTTATAAGAAATACTCTTTCATCTCTTTCCTTATTACACACCATAGCACTCAACATTCCATGAAATACAAGGTCAAATCAGGATAACATTTGAATGAATAACACACTGAAGAACATCAAACATGAGAAGCCTGGAGGTCCGTGGAAATCAAACTTGTAACAAGTACCAGTTAACCACATTGTCCTGAAGTAATACGGGACATTAGAGGTAGTCAGATCCAGCTGACTAAATCAAAATTTCTCTTTTGGAGAAGTATTCATTTAAATTGGTTTGTGTAACATTTATCACAGACTCAGTCTTTCCTTTTTCACTCTGTCCTATTTCATGGAGCTATTAAGTTACTGGGAAGTTAGAGCTCAGGCACAAGGAAAAAGGCATGAAAACTTAGATCTCCACACAAACCCTATACTTCCAAGCCTCAGGACTACTTCCTGCCAATTTTTAGCACACTTACACACACATCCTGGGAGGATAAAATGCCAGAAGAGCTCTTTCCAGCAAAACCATTGTAGTGTATACTGGGCCTTGCTGACCTTAAGAAACAGGTTAATTTGCAATTTACAAGGGAGTTCATTAAAAGTCCACAATAATTTGAGGGTGATTTTACCCATTATAAAATATATAAAGAGTTCTCAGCAGAGGTTTCCTCCAAGAGAGCATAAAATGCCCTTTCTCCAATTTGAGAAGAAAGTAATTCCCAACCAGCCACTCTAAAGAACAGGATAAGAATTAAATTAGACTAGGGCTGGCCAGTTAGCTTACTCTGTAGAGCGTGGTGTTGATAACACCAAGGTCAAAGGTTTGGATCCTCATATCAGCCAGCCACACACACAAAAAAAGGAACTGAATTGAACTTCTTTTCAGAAATCATGCAAGCAAGGAGAGAGTAGATTGAAATATTTAAAGTGCATTAAAGAAAAAACACTCAGAGTTGTGTCATGCGAAATTATCCTTCAAATGAGGATGAAAGAAATACTTTCTGAGACAAACAAAAATTAAAGGAATTCATCACCAGTACACGTGCTTTGCAAGAAATGGTAAAAAGAAAAAATTATCAGAAAGATGGTAAATGATAAAGGATGGTACAATGTTAGACAAGCCATAAATGAAAGTAAAACAAAATCATTTTTCTTCTTAACTACTGTAACCGATAACAGTTTGCTCAAAATAATAACAGCTTCAATGTATTCAATAATTAAAGCTTATGGATGAATGACAGCACTGTTATAAGAGACAGGGAGAGAGGAATCAGGATTACTGCTATGAGGTACTTGCACAAACAGTGGAGTGGTCCAGCATTGCTAGAAACAGAACTTCAGATAGTTATAATTGTATACTGCAAACTCAAGGGAAACCACCAAAGTAGTAATTTAAAAAATGTACTATAGGCTAGCCAGTTTAGCTCAGTTGGTTAGAGCACAGCCTTGTCCTTGTAAGGTCAAGGGTTTGGATCTCCGTTCCAGCCAGCTGTCCCCCAACCCCCCCCAAAAAACCAGAATAAAAGTCACTTTATTTTTTTTAAAAGATGACCGGTAAGGGGATCTCAACCCTTGGCTTGGTGTTGTCAGCACCACGCTCAGCTAGTGAGCAAACCGGCCATCCCTATATAGGATCCGAACCCGGTGCCTTGGTGTTATCAGCACCGCACTCTACCGAGTGAGCCACGGGCCAGCCCTAAAAAAAAGTCACTTTAAAAAAAAAAGTATTATTGACATGCTAAGAGGAAAAAAATGGAATCAGGTAAAATGCTCAAAGAGAAGTAAAAAAATGATCAAAGAAAGAACAAGGGCAACAAATAGAAATCAAGAAAACATATAGTAGACATTAATCCAACTATATCAAATATCACTCTAAACATCAATGGTCTAAATACAACAATGAAAAGACAAAAACTGTCACAGGTGATTAAAAAACACTTATCTGTTGTCTAAAAAAAAAAAAAAACCCATCTAGTTACATGTTGTCTACAAAAAACACACTTTAAATACAAAGACACAGTTGGATTACAAGAAATGGAGAAAAATATACCACAGTACATTAATCAAAGGTAAGCCAGCACAGCTTTATTAATTTTAGACAAAGCAAACTTTGGAGCAAGGAAAACTCACAGAGATAAATAAGGGTATTACATAATCATAAAGCGGTCAATTATCCAAAAAGACAGCAATCTTTAGTGTGTATGTGGGTTACAATAGAATCACAAAATACACAAGGCAAAAACTGATAGGACTGCAAGGAGAAATATATAAATCCCTGACTACAGCTGATACTTCAATGCTATCCTATCAGTAATTAAAGATCCAGCAGGCAAAAAAACAGGAAGGTCATAGGTGAATTGAACAGCACTATTTCACTCAAATCCATGGAACACTCCATGAAACAGAATATATTCTTTTCAAGTTCACCTGGAATATTCACCAAGATAGACTGCACTGTGGGACATATAACACACCTTAACAAATTTGTAAGAACAGAAATCATACAAAATATGCTCTCAGACCACAATGGCATTAATCTAAAAAAAGATAGTTGGGAAAACCTCAAAATACTTGGAGATTAAACAACACACTTCTAACTGACACATGGATGAAAGAAGTTCCAGGAGAAATTAAAAATTACTTAGAACTAGTGAAATGAAAATTCAACTTACCAAAGTTTGTGGGATGCAGCAAAAGTAGTACCTAGAGGTAATCTACACCACTGAACACACTAGAAAGTAAGATCTACAATCAATTATCAAAGCATATACCTTGGGAAATTAGAAAAAGTACAGATTAAACCCGAAGTAAGCCAAAGAAAGAAAGTAATAAAAAGAGAAAGTGAAATTGCAGGAAGGCAATACAGAAAAATCGACAAAACCAAAAACTGGTTCTTTCAAAAGATTAATTGATAAAAATCTAGTTAAGCTAACTGAAAAAAACAAAGGAAAAACAAATTACTAATATCACAAATGAAGTGGGGGATGAAAATGAGAAAGCATTTGACAAAATTCAACATGCATTTAAGAGAGCAAACTAGGAGTAAATAAAGGAGAACTTCTGGAGAAAGAACACATACAAGACACCTACAGCTGACATCAACTTAATGGTGAGAAACGAGATGCTGTCCCAGGAAAATGAGGAATAAGGCAAGGATGATCCTTCTCACCACTTCTATTCAACACGATATTGAACATCCTAGACAATGCCACAATAAAAAGTATTCAGATTGGAAAGGAAGAAATTAAACTGTCATTGTTGCATGTAACATGATCATCTATGTAGAGAATAAAAGAATATAGTAAAGTTGAAGAATACAAGGTCAATATACAAAGCCAATTGCTTTCACGTAGACCCACACAAATGCAAGTATAGTCAACTGAACATTGACAAAGGACCAAAGGTGATTCAATGGGAAAAGATAGTCCTTTCAACAAATAGTGGTGGAAAAACTGGATATCCACATGCAAAAAATAAAAAATAAAGCAAGTATAGTCAACTGAACATTGACAAAGGACCAAAGGTAATTCAATGGGAAAAGACAGTCCTTTCAACAAATAGTGGTGGAAAAACTGGATATCCACATGCAAAAAATAAAAAATAAATAAATAAAATCTAGATACCTTTTACAAAAAAGCAAAACTAGAATTTAACATTGGAGAAAATCTAGGTGACCCTGGGTTTGGTGATGAATTTTTAGATACAACACCAAAAGCAATATCCATGAAAGAAAACCCAAGTTTGACTTCATTAAAATGAAACACTGCTGCTGCGCAAAGGAGAATATTAAGAGAATGAAAAGACAATGCACAGAGTAGGAGAAATTATCTGCAAAACACTTATGAAGGGCTGGTATTTAAAGAATATCCAAAGAACTCTTAAGCTCAACAAATATATTTATATAACTCTTAAAACTCAATAATAATAAGACAACCCAATTAAAAATGAGCAAAAGAGCTTGAACATATACCTCACCAAATAAGATATATGTAGATATGCATATGAAAAGATCCTCAACACCATATGACAGAGAATTGCAAATAAAATAATCAGATATCACCACACACTTGTTGGAATGGTTAAAATCCAAAACACACCTCATCAAAGAAGATAAAGATTCCAAGTATATAACGTTCTGGAAAAGACACAAAAATATGAAACAGTAAAAATATCTTTTGTTGCCAGGGATTTGGGGGTAGGACAAAGGGATAAATGAACACATGGAGCACAGGGGATTTTTAGGGCAGTGAAACTACTCTACATGGTAAAGAAATGATGGTATGATATAAATTGTCAAAATCCAAGGAATGTATAACACAAGGTATCAATGCTAACATAAATTGTGAATTTTAATGCATCAATATTGGTTCAACATTGTCACAATGTACTATATTAATACAAGATATAAAAAATAAAACCATGTGAGGCAGAGGGGTCATGTGGGAACTCTGTACTTTTTGACCAGTTTTTCAGTAAACCTAAAATTGTTCTTAAAAACAAACAAACAAACAAACAACAACAACAAACAACCCATAGTCTATTGAAGAGAGAAAAGAGAAAGGATGATGATATGCATACTTCCGTTCACTCCTGAAACTGTCTAATGACTGAAACACACCCTCTTTCATTCAACTGATTTGAACTCAACAACAAACAACCCATAGTCTATTGAAGAGAGAAAAGAGAAAGGATGATGATATGCATACTTCGGTTCA